CCCCCCCACACACACACACATAGCATACACGTGCAACATATTGTGGTGTACACCAGGCACATGCGCTGTAGTGCATTGTTAGAACGCATCGCAGTGCATTATTTTTTTCTTTTGTAAAAAAACATGAATTTAACTGTGGCAGCGCATGGCAAAACTTTGTGACGCATTGCCGTGCGTTGTGATACCTTGTGTTGTAATTAAATATATACGCCTGTATAATTTTATCACAACACAAACACATCACACAAACCATTTATAACATGAATTGCTTATTTACAGTTTAGTCTTCCTTCATTTTTTTATAATCCCTCCTTAGCCTCTCATTGGTGTGGCAGTATTAAAGTAAAGTGTTAGACCTCATTCAGGCGCCATTCACACCAGGGCGGAAGCGTTTTACCATGGTTTCCGCACGATTTTTGAAAGAGCATTTTTGGCTGTTTTTAGTTGCGTTTCAGCGCTGAAACGCAATTAAAAATGCTCAAACGTGCTGATCAGCGCATTTCTATTAAAATGGGGGTGAGGGGTTTCGTGGGGGGGCTCAAACAATGTTGCTATGGGGCTCTAGTTCTAGTTATGCCCCTGTATACTTCCCAGATAATTTCTCTACATTTAGATAAACCACTTTACTGTAGGACTTAAAATGCTTTCTGTGATTGACTTTTAAGTATACTGTTTGCATGAGTTTTAAGGTAACCTATATTTTGTTGGGGATGTAGTCTGTACTTAGATGATTCCTCTAGTTAAGTGGTTAAGTCTTGTATGTTTTCTGACAACAACATAGTTCATTTGTATCTGATCTGTGCATAATATTTTTATTATTATCTCCACAATTATACTTCTGTTCTCTAAGCGTTAAATAAAATTCATCAGAGAAGAGTCTGAAATTGAAGTTCTAAAAATGATTTCCACAGATTGTCTTGCTGCCTCATGTCAAGTCTCTGGACATATTCAGCTCCGGAGGGTCAGGAGATGATGTCAGCAATGCCTGGCAGACATTCCAGAGATACAGATGTACAGAGAACAGCCAAAGTGTTGTGAAAACTCCTCTCACAGATGTCTGCAAAGACTTCCTCTTCAGCATCTCCGCCCTTCTGCATGAGGGGGCCCTGGGTAGGTTTTTGTTTAACTAGTAGTAATAGTGGTAGAAATAAGTAGGAGTAGTAATTCCAGTCTCTTTTCAAAGCAGACTGTCACTTTCATTGTGCTCGTTAGAGTTGTGGTTTCTTTATGTTTAAGAGTTACTCAGTCTAGAAGCACGTTTTACTTGTGACCAAAAAGAAAGTTTGTAGAAGCCATTTATAGCAGGGTTGATAAAGATCAAGCTTGGGTGGCCCTCTAGAATTCACTATTAGTACAATACATACATGTTTTGCAAAGAATAGTTGTCTCTTATGAAAACATAAACTGAAAACATTAGTGTATTTAGTATCTCTAATAAAATGTGTAATCACATTCTTACTAATAAATTAGTGATTTGAATTTGCATATTATATTTGAACAGTTTTAGGAAGTCAGAAATTTGCTGACCTGGGTTATTGTGTATATATCAATATTCTCTTTAGCGTTCTAATTGTTTTCTTATCTTTTATTCCTTATCCAGAATGTCAGTGTGATCCTCAAGGCTCTCTAAGTGCTTTATGCGACCCGAACGGAGGGCAGTGCGATTGTCGCCCAAATGTGGTCGGAAGGAATTGTGATAAATGTGCACCTGGAACTTATGGCTTTGGGCCTAGTGGATGCAAACGTATGTCACAGTTTAGACTTAAATTTGATATCCTATATTGTTCCAGATTTAAAGTAGACTTGTTGCTGTTGCCAGCCGATCATAGCACCATATGGTGGAAGTCTATGATGTTCCTTTTCAAAAATGTTGCTACGGGGTACCATGACAGCCCCAGGTCCCTACAGTATGCAGTTTCCAGCATCTTACAAATGTCAAAGCTGATTAATATGCCACCACACCCAACAAAGCTACAACATTTGTAAATACCAAGACTAGCATTCTTCATGTGCTCCTGAGGTACCTTTACAGCAGCATATTTGAAAATTAACTAATCGGCACCTTATATTGACTGCCAAGGTTTTGAACAGTAATGAAAGGTGCATAGACATTTTACCTTTTTATAGTACTACTTACTTAATTCTAGATTCAATAAAATTAGATTTGTGATATCTTTAATGTATCATCCAAGATTCTAACATGTGAGGTTAGCTTAGTATGATGCTTAGTATTGCTAAATAGGGCTCATAATGCAATGCATTTTTTTATGTTGTAGAGTGGAATAATCCTGGGGTTCCATCTTAAGTGATGAACTCAAAAATATCTGTACAACTGATTATTTTACTGAAATTTAGTAATTTTAAGACATATGTGTTCTTCAATGATATTCCATCCATACAAAGTAGTTTCACCTCTTTGTGTCTTCTTAGCTTGTGAGTGCAATGTTAAAGGATCTTACCATTCCTTCTGCCACCGTGAGACCGGTCAGTGTCCATGTATCCATGGTGCCTATAGAAGACAGTGTGACGCATGTTTACCTGGCTACTGGGGATTCCCTAACTGTCAGCAGTGCCAATGTAATGGACATACTGATGAGTGCAATACCCTTACCGGAGAGTGCACTGGCTGCAGAGATCACACTGAAGGTTACAGCTGTGAAAGGTAGGTTTATTTAATCCACTGTATTGATATCAGTAGCATCATAATGTTTCTTCATTACTGTTTTGTTGGGACACATAACTGGGCTGGTGCATGCAATAAAATATGGTGGATTATGAAAGTTACTTGAACATTGATGATTTGTCCATGTACTATTGTCTTGAGCTGCTTAATAGTCTTTCAATTTTCTAGATGTTTGGCTGGTTATTATGGCGATCCCAGGCTTGGTTCAGGTGATCACTGCAGACCTTGCCCATGCCCAGATGGACCTGGGAGTGGGCGCCAGTTCGCTAGTGGGTGTTACAAAGACACTACAACTGAGCATGTTGTATGTACATGTAATAAAGGTTATACAGGTAAGCTTTTATTGTATTTTAATCTTTTAGTAATCATAAGTTTGTAAGTGTAGTGTTAAAATTCTTATACTAAGCTCATTAATAGTTAAGAACACATTGATCGATGGAATGACTACCGAAGCATAATACAATATTCTGATGTGTAGCCACTTAGTAAGATACGTGGACAGTTGTTTGCACCATTGGGGGGTGTTCCGGTTTTATTTTATTTCTAAGGACAGAAAATTATTGATTTATATTCAAAAGTTCTGTCACTTGCTGCATAGATATTTCAGTAAAGCACTAATGATATTTCTTTTTTTTCCTTCTGTAGGTGTTCGCTGTGACGGCTGTGTGTCTGGCTATTATGGAAACCCAGAAGAAAATGGTGGTACCTGCCAACCTTGTAACTGCAACAATAACATAGATATGTCTGATCCACTGGCTTGTGATAAACAATCAGGAGTATGTCTAAAGTGCCTCCATCACACAGAGGGTGAAAACTGCCAACAATGTCAGCTCGGGTACTATGGCAGTGCAATTCATCAGGATTGTAAAAGTAAGTGTTTATTGGACTTTGCCTTTAAAGTCTAGCATTTTTAAAGACATATGTTAAGTATATATACAGTATGCTAAATAAATCCTGTATGAAGGAAGTATGGAGCCTGTCATTACTGAACTCTACCTCTGAAAATGCTAGTTGCCTGATTGTCATGCAGACCTAATGGCTATACAGATGACTAGTTCTGACTTAATTTTTAAGTTTTCCGGCAAGTATTTTGTTCTAGGTCAGTACTGAGACCAAAGACATACAAGCCACTAACATTTTTTGAAGCAGGTCAGCGACCTCCTCCATATTTCTTTCAGTACAGGTTTTTTTTAAAAATATTTCTGTGTCAACTGTTGCTTGAAGCTAAAAAAAATACACAAGCTTCTTTTTGGGCATCGTTTTGCATTTAATTTTTGGCCCCTTAGACTTTAATGGAAGTGCACGAAAACTCCCATAATGTGAGGTTTACACTCAATCTTGTGCCGAAAAACTGTCACCACCTGGTAACTAGCTTCCCTTTTGGCTAAAAACTAAAACTCTCAAGCCTTAAAAACATGCAAAAAAAACACCTGAAATACATTGAGCTCAAGTGCTAAGTGTGTGTAAGCTTTTTTTAGTCTTTTTAATCGGGTCCAGAAAGATTGGCAAATTAGGACAACTCCGTGTTCGCAGCACATAACCCTGATATTGTGTCAAAATGGATTCTCTTATTTCTCTCCGTGATCATTTGCCTCAATATTTCCTTTGTCTCAGTAGCAGGATATTGTTCTCATTTCGCTTTCCCTTCAGGCAACTTACTAAGAAATAGAATTGCTAACAACAAACAGTTAAAATACACAGAACATGCACATTTTTTACTGACTTACACAAATTTAGAGGGAATATTGTTTGGGAAAATATTTTGTATAAATAGGAAGAATGTTATACTATTATTTTATTGTATCTTGGAATCAAAAGTTCTCCTCTACATTATAGTGTACCTTGTAACAAACTGTCCAAGTACTAATGGTAAACTGCTTGTGGGATACCCATCTGACCTATATCTTGCTGTTTAATCTTTCCAGAGTGTGTCTGTAACTACCTGGGCACTGAACAGGAGCACTGTCAGGGAGATGTCAGTTGCCACTGTAATAGAACCACTGGCCAGTGTCCTTGTCTGAAGAATGTGGTTGGACAGAGCTGTGATCACTGTGCACCAAACACCTGGAATTTAGCCAGCGGAAATGGTTGTGAGCCATGTGGTTGTGATCCAGGTCGTTCTCTGGGGCCATCTTGTAATGAGGTACACATTGAAGAAACATTAGAAAATATAAATAATGCACAATGCTGAGACAAATTAAGCATTTTAAGTGTATAACTGTTTCGGTAATTTGTTTAAACAGTTCACTGGACAGTGTCATTGCATGCCCGGTTTTGGAGGGAGGAACTGCAGTGAATGCCAGGAACTTTTTTGGGGGAATCCAGATTTCGAATGCAAAGGTAAAATATAACTATTTTTGTTCCTCACTTATGTTTTATGATTTGGGGTATTTTATATAAGCATTCTTATATCGGTAGTGACAGTAATTTACATAGTGCTGAGGTGTATCTGTGATCCTTCATTCTTGTCTCCAGTATCCTCAACATTCTACCCATTTTTTTCACCTAAATTATTATTATTATAATACAGGATTTATATAGCGCCAACAGTTTGTGCAGCGCTTTACAATATAAGGAAGACATTACAATTCAAGAGAAGATGGTAAGGAGGGCCCTATGTCTACTCTAATTCCCCTGCATGTCATGAATTTTAGCTCTGCAGTCATCTGCTATGTACATATGACACTACTGAACACACACAAAAATTTAAAGAACAAGTCACCACTCAGTTAAGCAGTTTACCATAATGTGTGCAGGAAAATGATGTGGTTAAGACACCTAATTTTGCTTCCAGCAAAGTCTCCTGTTAGATGAAAGTTCTTTCATTGCCTACAGGTATTGTTGTCCTGTACTGTGGGAAAGCAACTGTTTGTAGGCAGAACCAATTATTTTAAGACTAGAGCATACCATTAGCTAGTAACTTCACTTAGGCGCAAGGCCATATATTATTAATGTTTTAATTATATCACTATTCCTAGGATATTAAAGCTCACCTCTGGACAAACGTATCCTCCTCCCCCCCCCTTCTGTTTGCGCCACTCCTTTTATTATGTGCCTAAGTCTGCCATCACATCTCTTTTGCTGGCGCCTCTTTCGGGAGTGAAGACTGGTGATCCAGAGATGCAGTCTGTGATCTTCTTGTTATGTCATCACACTGTTGCAGTCCTGGAGTCTGAGAACACACTCCATTGGTGGACAGCCAATGAGGAGTATCTGCGTGACCCAGGCACATAAATGCACAATTAGGGAGGGGTAGAATGGGGTGTGGCTAAGACTGACTTTTGCAGGAAAAGGCAAAGTTTTAATATAAATGTAGCAGTCTAACCTCCTGGATCTATATAATTTTACCCTTCCATTTTCATCTAAAGCCTTTCTGGTTGTACTGTATATATTTTCAACCTATGCTGCTTGAATTGATTAGGGTTGTGGCAAACTTTGGTTTAAGGAATGCGCTAGAATGAATCGGTGTATCTAAACACAAAAACAAAAATGTATTATATTGCAGCTTACCAATCCTAAAATGTGGTATCTGCATTTAGTTTTCTTTTTTCCTATATTTTACCTGCTGATCCAGCCATTTTAAGACACTTCCTGTCTTAGAATGGCTCCCCTCTATAGAGGAGCAATGGGGCCACTCTTGCATAGTAGGATTGTCACACTCTGGAGAGGGTAGTGTTAGTTGCACTAGCCGATTTAGATGGAGTTGACTAACAAATTAAATCTGAACGCCTGCTAACACTTTTTAAGCAGTTACTCCGTCCTTTTGGGATAAAGGTTTTACAATAATGAATATAAGCTGACCATTGTAAGTGTTAAATGGTACATTTCATCCCTCTATCTGCCACTTTTGTTGGACAGTTTGGTCCGTTAAAGAAAGTGGAAAAGTAACAGACTTAATGGATAGATCACCAGGTGAAAATTAAGAAAATGAATGCAGCCACCACATTTAAGAATTGTAAGCTGCAATATATTACATTTTTGCTTCTGTATCAAGAAGAACTTTATACATATCAGTTAAAAAAATCTGATAAATACTGGTAAAGTATGACCAAAAAAAGTATGACCACCATCTAATAACTGCTGCCAGTTTTATATAAACATTTACCAAAAGTTCATGCTAGCAATCTGCATAGAGTATATATCTTGTGCATAGGAATAAATGATCAAAGACTCTTATCAAATGGGGACTTAGATGTGATATAAGTGCAGATATTCAATCATAGTCACTAAGGATTAGATAGTAGAACAATAAAACTCACATTTCTTCATACAAAGCAGAATTATTTAATGCAAACATTTCATTAGTCTTTCAGTTTAGATTGTTTCCCCCTGTCTATACAAGTCTTATCTTAAATTACTAACTAAACAAGTCATTAATCCCCTCTATAGAAATGCATTCAACTAGATGATCTATTAAAACATCTCCTGAATGATGAGACTTTTTTCCAGGAAGTAAATGTTTGTTGTATGTTTCATTGATTTTAGCCCTTTCATTTAACAGTCCTCTACAAAGCTGGCCATAGTATGTTTTCTTCATTTTGTCATGCTTTCCTGTATAAAATTCATCTGGCATTTGTTAATTATAGTCAAGTAGTTGGCATTGATAATTGAAGTCATTGTGTGTTGTTGTGGCCTACACATTGCTGAACAGATAAGGCTTTGTAAAGAGTGGTTAGTGAAGACATGCCAAGCTCAAACAAAGTCTTAACTGTTCATTTAGTAATAGAGCTATTTTATTTTGATCAGTGATGGGTGGGATATAGACTTCAGAGGAATGTTGTCATTTATGTGATGTGAATGATAGAGATTTTAAATATTCCACATAGATTTTGAATGTGCGCATCAGCTAATCAGAGTCATTGTTGCTCTGCAAATTCTTTATGATAATGACACATGCAGAACACTTCAACAGTTGAAACTATCTATCGTGTGAGACAAGAATAAAAGCCATCTTGCAGTTTCCATGCACAGGTCTTTACTACATATTTTGGTTGCCATATAGTTGCTTTGCATGTCATTTGCTAAATGTGCTTGATGTTTAAAATGGAAAGCTGCACTGTTGAAGAACAATTTGGTAAAAAGGAGATGCATTGGCAAATTATGGCAACATTTACTGTACATTTTCCTAAATTCTTTATTTAAAAAAAAAGTACTAATAGAAACTGAAAAATGTATGGGATTTAAAGCAGAAATCCAGGTTCTGGTCCTGTGCTACCCACCCACTCCATCCCTAACCCAAGGTTTTTGTTTTTTTCCCCCTATAAAACCTATTACATAATTTCCTGCAGTCTTCTAGCCAATCCAGTGACATCACTGGTCCTCCCTCTTATTCCACAGCGGCAGCAGGGGGGGGGGGCTTTTTTTCCTGGACCAGCTTCGCTCATGTAATGGTGTGAGCACTGCTCAGTCCAGGAGTACTATGAACTGCGTGAAGACTCATCTTTAGGGGTGGACAGAGGAGGAAGCTGGAGACAGCGCTGGAGCTTGGAGAAGGTAAGTACAACCTGGCCACTTTTTCATACAGAAACAACATAGAAACTGGAGTTTTACTTTAAGAGACAGATGTTGTCTGCTCCCTGTGCTTGTGTGCCCTTGGCTTCAGATAACTGCTTTTTCTTTTGAGTGTTTTATTGCACACTGTCAAATTTGTAATATTAGAATTATCATTTCAAAGATGATAATATATAGTTTAATCTCTTTGAAGGGCAAGATAATTGCATATATATTGCATCAAAATGAAATTGTAGCATTAATTTCCTTTTTTGGCTTTTTGGGACATTTCCAATGCTCTGAATATTTTTTTTCTCTGCTTTTTGAGCAGTGCATTGATCTGGAACATGATATATATATATATGTATGTATGTATGTATGTATGTATGTATGTATGTATGTATGTATGTATGTATGTATGTATGTATGTATGTATGTATGTATGTATGTATGTATGTATGTATGTATGTATGTATGTATGTATGTATGTATGTATGTATGTATGTATGTGGATATATATGTATGTATGTATGTATGTATGTATGTATGTATGTATGTATGTATGTATGTATGTATGTATGTATGTATGTGGATGGATGGGTGGATGGATGGGTGGATGGATGGGTGGATGGATGGGTGGATGGATGTGGGTGGATGGATGTAGATGGATAGATAGATATAGATAGATATAGATAGATATAGATAGAT